ATCTAATGTATACATATACATTTATATATTATATATTTTTATAATAGACATGTATATATGTATGTATATATATATATATATGTATATATATATATATATATATATATAATATATATATATGTGTGTGTGTATGTGTGTGTGCATGTATATATATATATATATAATATATATTATAAATATAATATATATATATATATATATGTGTATATACGTATGTTAACATACGCACACACGCATGCATGCACACATACATAGAGAAACACACACATACACACACTCACTTACATATAATGTGTGTGTATATATATTACGTATTATATATATACACAGATATCATGTATATATGATTATATATATATATATATATTATATATATATATATATATATATATATATGTTTATATATATTTATACATACACGTTTCTGTGTATTTCATACACATATTTCTGTGTGTGTATATATATGCACACAGAGAAACACACTCGCACACATAGTTTTTTTAAAATAGATAATTAGATTCTTTTTTGTTTACCGTAAGTATGTCTCTTTGCATGACACTGGACGCTAAGCATGATTCGAAAATGGTAACTTTGCAAGTTAGTGGTATAGTATTGGACAAAAAAAAAAGTTAATTCGCAAATTTACACATCCATTAAAAGTATTCTCACCGCTTGGCCTATTATGATTGTAGATGCGAAATACATTTCCAGATTAGGAACCACTGTTGCAGTTTGCATTCATTAGATCTTTATGATTCCGAAAAAAGTTACTGAAAATGTTTACTAATGGTAAAATACAAGTATGTGGTACTACTTTAATCAGTGGTTCATTCACCCTGTTTGTGATTTTTTCAAAATCCCTTAGAAATACAAATACGCAACTATAATGTTTATTCAGGACAATATAGATAAGTCAGAGGGTAAATAGTGACACTCATAATGCTCTTTTTTATTAGGTCTGCGCGCGGGAGCTGATGATGGGACTCGAGGCGGCGCCAGCGAGTATTCCCTGCCAGGCGTATGAATAACTCCTAATGCTACGTTGCATTTTAGAAATCTTTATTATGTATACTAAAATCGTTTGTAAATTCATAGATTAAGATAGATAATCTACAAAGATCTTCTGAATATAACGATATATTTAAGGATCGATCTTATGCGTATACTGTGCGATATGTTGTACGGTCTGATATGGCATCGATGCCCTGAAGCAACTCTTCCATTCAGTCTTGACTTGACTAGAGGAAGTGGAACTGTAAGGTTGTGTGCTGCGGTGTACATCTCTGAGAATTGTGATGACCACTAGAGTTTCTTCGCTGCATATTACTAACAACATATAAACTAATTGTGCATTGATAATCCGGGACATATAATCTATCAGAAGTTCAAAACCGAAGTTTTTTTTAGGAAAACAAAAGTATACTATAAGGAAAGGTAAGTAAAATTGAAATCTTGGAATTATATGTAGATGCTATGATGACTGAGGAGAAGTGAAACGCGCAATCTATCCATTGCAAAAATAACTCGCCTGAATTTTAAACAAGCAACATTTAGGTCAAGTTGCTTCCAATCTGAAATCCCGAAGGTGACAAGTACGGGAATTCCTGCGAGTGAATGGTTACTGGCTGTTAGAATATCAAAATTCTGTAATTGTTACTTTTCTAAAGGCAGGCGAACTCCGGAATGTCGGGAGGGTAAAGTTCGAGAGAAAGAAAGTTCTCAGGTAATCCCAGCCTTTCAAGTGTCGCGCCCTGACCCACCTTCTTGTGGCCAATAACCTTGCCAGATGGCGAGATTTATCGGGATTTGGTGAGGACAGAGAGATCCGCAGACATTTCTCCCAGATGAACGCATGTGCCTGTGGCTCCCGAGACCCTCGCGTTAACGCATGGGACTTCAGGTTAAGAATAGTTGGTGAAGTTCCTACGATGCGCTATGGGTTATTTATTTCTCACGGCCGGGCATTCGGACTCAGAAACGTTGCTGTGTCTCAACACGTCTTGGGGGTAATAACATCTACCCGTTTTGCGTTTACTTTCATCAAATTTCGCGTCTCGAGCATTGCGGCCGCGAGAGATAAAAAAGCCATTATCCCCACGATGCTTTTTCCCAGCCTCGCGGGGCATGTCACACGACTCGCACGGTTGTCACGGCGCCTGTCATTCGGTCCTTGAGATGAGAGTGATGCTGGACGCGGATGTGGTCTCGTGGAAGCTAATTGGTACAAAAGCTGATGCTGCCAGAGCGTGATTGACGTTGCCTCCTCTGCAACCCCTTATTAATGCCGAGGTGGCAACACGATCGCATCATTTTACTTCTCTGCCTATCACTCGTTTCTCCGTGTGACTGCGCTTCCGTTCTCATGCTGTCTTCTGGAAGCCTTCTGATGTAAGATTGCACACAGTCCGTAATATTCCCGTAGATTTGCAGCTTTAGTAGATGGAGTTTTAAGCTACTTCTGACGTAAATTTGCTCAAAATTCAAAATATTCCATGCTCTTGTCAGCTGACCAAGGTGGAACAAAAAACTGAAACCGGTTACGTTATAATTGAACGACTCCAAACCTGCAGGTTAGAACGGTAACCAGATGCCATATCTGTGACTAATGCAATTGATATTCATATGAACATGATTATCACCATACAGAATTTGATGTCTAAAGAATCCGCCTACGTTGTTTTCAAACGAGTTGAATTGCTTTATTTTTTATTAATATTTATTTTTCAGTTTCTATTTTCACCTCAACCGATATGCCAGAAATAAGCACCCGTATATAAATACATGTGTAAATATTTGCATGAATTATTAATAACAAAATTCGCCAATCACGTTACATTGTTTATGTTTGAAAATGGTCTGGATATTTTACGAATTTTCGTAAATTTCCGAAGAGGGAGACTTTTGGAATTCAGCAGACGAACACGATCGCGACCCCGATTCAGGGTGGTAGAGCACAAGCGAATCGTCGGCCTTGCTTGCTCATCGAGGGGCGGCCTTGACAACATGTCTAAAACAAAGACGCCGACCTCTCTCTCGTGACATTCCGTTGTGGCTGTTTGCCCAT